TGAATCAGCATTTATCATGTCTTAACAACAATAAAGTAGGTTAATATGAATTTGGCTCCAACATTCCCTGTTCCATAGTTACATACAGGCCTATGTCTATGATAACCCAGTATTAGCTGATAATACTGTTTGATCTTTAGAGAGGTGTTGATTGAACTGCATGATCATATTTGAGGTTGCAGTTTGCAGTTTTGTGCTGGACAAAATAGTAAAAACACAGAAGTAAGTAAGAAACTCGTAGCACCTTTTAAAACAAAGTTACAAAGTGCTGCACAGGATGTATATAGAGAAAAGTAAAAAACATACAGCAATTGTACAATATACTGAAAGATACAGGAACGCCCAGTGACAGAGAGGAAAAGTTGCTAAAAATGAGTTTTGAGAAGTTTTTTGGAGCTAATTAAAGACTCAGCTGATCTAACTGAAGGGGGAGACTGTTCCAGAGAGATGGGGCCCTCACGGCAAAAGCACAATTGCCCTTGGATTTGTGGAGGGTATTAGGGTATGGATAAGAGTGTTTCTGTTATTTAGCCTACACTCATCGATATAAATGGGGAGGACAAAATAGTAAAAACCCCTAAAAAGTCAACAACACCACAAATTATAGCCTCCAAAATGATTATAAAGATGAATCAATGCCTAAATAACATTATAACCCTCATGATGGGAGGATTTATTTCAGGATTGTTGTATTTGACTGCATTAGTTTTAGCTAGGTGTACCTAATAAACTGGCACTGAGTATATAAGTCTACTGATACCACGCTCAAATTGCTGACTGAAACCTTAAAACTAAAGAGTAAAATTCCACACTGATACACGTGCCTTAAAAATAATGATTAAAACTGACGCATTCACACTCATTACTGGAATCTGACGAGTATGTTAAAGTCCACATCTACTCAGAAATATGTTTTTCTTCTTGTTCCTACAGTTGGATGTTTGAGCGTCACTGAGCAGAGGGATGTATGTGCAGAGTTTGACACTAGAAGGATTTTTTCACATTCATCTGCTGAAAGTTGAAAGGGTCTTTGAGCTCATTGATCAGATTTTAAGGGCGGGGTCTACAAATATAATTTGTGACATCACAAATACTTCAGAAGTCAACCTTGGTCCAGTTTGCAACTTATATAAGTGCGATGTAGAAACTTGAAGCCTCCAGTGCACATATATATACCCTGAGAATGGACTTTACAGTGTAAGTAGGAGACATCTTGTGTCCAGCTGGAAAACTTTATGCATGAACACAATTAGCATATTCTGGAATTTATAATGAAACAAGAAGGAGTAGATGCCGTTTAAGGATTTTAATGTGGAAATTATATACTTTTTTAGCAGAAAAAGAGTAGAGTCCACTCTACTGAAGTATAGTATATATGTCTTAATATGTTTGAAGGACATCTGATCTTTAAGAATTACTCGACTGGCTCAGTCTTACAGTGGACATCACGTCGGTCTGATATCTGGATTTTAGAAGAGAGAGAGAGAGTCAGTACCAAGTTTCAGTTCACACAACATAAATAAATAAATAGGTGAGATTCACAGCTTTCTTTAACAGATGACATCTTGAAGCCACATAATAGCGTGCTCTACTGTGTTGCTGTGTGCTCTAGTTCTGGTGTTCTAGTGTGTGTTAGTGTTCTGCCGATGTCTCTCTGCTGTCTTGCGTGTGTGAGGACACTGCCATGTCAGCAGTGTTTCCACCCTGATCCCTGAGTGTCTGCGCTGAGCTGAGTGTAGCTGAGTGAGCGTTTTGACACACACACACACACACACACACACACACTGTCCTTCGCCCATGTCACAGGGTTCTACCTTGACTGTTTAAAAAAGGGAGCACAGGCATTGTCACAGATAAAGTGATGGAAGATATGTATTGTATTGGTCTCCCAAAGTTCAGATTTGATCAGAAATCCCATTAAGTCCATAAATCAGCTGACTCAGGGACCAAACTATAAATATATAATTTTCAATCACGACAGTGACCATTATTTGAATGCACCCTGGCTGAACTTCGCCTCTGGATCTATAGGTTATGAGTTTCTATTTGGAGTTGCAGCCAAGATTTTCTGCAAAAATCTAAAGGATGTGACATTTATGTGCGCTCCCAAGTGTCTCCTCTCTTTGGAGGCTGCAATAACCCACCGATCTCCCTTCACTCTGATGGAGAAATGAGCTAACAAGAAACTGACTGCAGTAACTTCAGCCAGGTAAAGAGTTTGAACCTTTCAGCTGCTATTTCACAGAAAATATGGGAAAAGTGTCAAATAAGATAAAATTTGTATATTTACTGATTAAGAAAGCCCATAAACATCATTTTGGTTTTTAACCCTCACAGACCTTATCCTCATGAGTTTGTTTTGTCAGTATTAAATAAATGTAATAAAAAATGTATTAATAAATTAATGTTGTATCTTAAAACAAAGAGAGAGAAATAAGCAACCTCTTAGCTTTGGTTATGTCAATTAGTCAATATATCAGTGATTCAATCAGCCGTTGTTGAATCAGAGTTTTCTTACTGACACAATGTGAGCTCTAGCGACATCTGCTGGTCAAACTGTGTAAAGGCAACAACTCTTTTTTACTGCTCTGACATTCTGTAGATCCTCTCACAACCCCTCAGATTTATCTTGGAGGGGTCCTGACCTCCAGGTTGAAAACTGCTAATATATATAGACCATATAGACCTTCATGTGTAGGTGGACTTGTAGTATATATATAGTATATGTAGTATTTATGGTCTTTTTGTGGACTTATTGCTTTGGGGAAATGAAACAGAGAGCAAAGAATATTGGATCGGGTCTGGAATCAGTCAGATGAAAATACAAAATCTGGACCAGATGCATAAAATAAAAAAGCAAGGCATGGCTGCTGCAGCAAGGACTCTACCAGGTGAGCTATAGGCCTCCCCTGAATGAGTGAGTTAGTATCTTGTGTCTCTTTGGAGTCATTCTGTGTCTTTTTTCCCCCTGTTCTCTATAGTCTCTTTTTGGGCACCTTCTGTCCTTTTGTTTCTCCTTTTACATTTTTTGTGTGTTTCTTTGTCGTTGTCTTGTGTCCCTTTTTTGCAGGTGAAGCAAAACTCTCTGCTGTTGGTTCAAAAGCTGCCGCTAAACTTCAGTATTTAGTTCACATCAGACTGTCTGACTCCTGTTCAAAGCTTCCTGCCACAGCAGATCCACACTTTAACACCTCTGCGTGAACATTATATTAAATACTACAGCACACTATACAAAATGTTACAGGAAAACATCAAAGAAAGCCTGAGATGCATGTGCTGTTCTGCTGTTTTAAACAGCTTTACTAATGATACAGTATGTTAACAGGCGACAGACTAAAGACTGTAGCCTCTGTGTGCTGTACAGCTGTAATATGAAAGAAATGGATTTGGCTCTACTCAATATTAAGAGACTCTGATCAAGTCATCCTTACTTTTAACTGAGCTTTGTGACTTTCCACCAAAGAATGTTAACAATTACTTCAAACAGCGGCTCTGGCCCAGGGGTAGAGGGGCCGGCCTGTACCCAGGGCAGTTGTTGTTCTGCCACGACTTTCTCTTGCACTGTCACATAACAAACCTTCCTCCCCCTAGGTGGAGATACATTAGGTCCCGCAACGTGAGAGTAACTCCACAGCAACAGTTCAGTGGATTGTTTTGCCCACTCCTTCTCAGCAATACGTCTTCTCTGTGTTTTTTGTGGAGACCGTAGAGATTGGCTACTTTCCCCTTTAAGCCACTGTTAATAGCAAAAACACATCTTCTTGGCATCACATTTTTCAGTTTCTGCCTGGTGAACTTGACAGCATGCTGTGAGGAGCTGCTCCGTCCTGGCTCAGGTAAATGTGCTGCTTTTGCACTATCAGCAAAACTTTTCTTCACACTGGTAGGCCTTCTCATTTATATACTAGGTTCGACCTTCCTGTATTTCACTGGCACATGACCCTGTTGGTGTTTGTTGTGGATCATTTCAGCAATGCTAACTTTTGTTATGGTGCTGGTATTAGTTAAATATAATAAAATGTTGCAATTGGGATTGCATTGTTTGGACCCACAGTGTAGATTTCAAGTAGCTAGTTGACCAGGTTGTGATCCACGAAGGTCCTGGATATCATTTCTTGATCACAACCTTTTATAACACCCTTTGCCCCCATGGCTAAATATATACAGTAAAACCTCTTAATTTTGAGTATACATGTAGTGATAGCTGTCCTGAATGCAAGTCCATTTGACATTGTCAGAAATTATGGTTCATGTTTTTTACAGCTAACATTATACGTTTATATATGTTTTTATCAGTGTATAATATAAGAATCACTGTGTTTTTGTTACCTTAAAATTAAACATTTTTATCTACAGATGCTGCAGTAGCCTTCCATGGGGTCCGCCACGTTGAACTGTCATATTTATACAGTAGCCCAGAAGGAACAAACCAAACACTGCCTCTAGATGGGGATGTTCCCTTTTTTTAATGTGTGTTTAAGGGCCACTGTAGGTCCTCCTTTGTGCTTGCATGGGGAGGGTGAAACGAGGTCAGCTATACCACTAGATGCTGAATACTACACACTGGTCCTTTAAATAGCATAATTATCTTAATATTAGATTACAGTGGGAACTCATTGCACATGATAATGTATTTTGGAGGAAGGCCTGAAGTTACTAGTTTTTAACACAACATTACCTTTAAAGAGGCCATATTATATTGGGTTATATAGATTGTTTGTGCATGTATAAAAAGGTCTAAAAAGTGACTAAACCCATGCCAAATAGAGTCCCTGCCTCGTTTGTATTTAGGCTTTTCTTCCATTACTATATTACACTCGATTGTAACAGGCGGAATAATCAACTATCAAAATTGTGATCGAAATTGATCAACTATTCATTTTAACACTACTGCTATCAAATTGGTTGTTGCACCTCCTGCATTTTTATGATTTTATTGATCTTACTGGTATTAAGTAACAAAACAAAAGAAAAGTTATTAAAATATTACTTTAATTATGAGCAAATTATTATTATAACAACAACACAACTGGTGGCATTAGAAAAGCTACATGTCACCTTCCATATAACATGGCACAGAGGCATTCAGCTTTCATTTAAATAAAAACTGGAGAAAAGTCATTAACAAGTATTGGCAAACAGGCCAATGACTGATTATAAGAAAAAACAACAGTTGTAAAAGGCTGATGACAGCCAAGACAGAATATGTCAATCTCTGATCTTGATCAACATGACGGATACGTTTGTTTGTTTATTCTTCGGCTGGGTGAAAGCACACAGCTTTGTTTGAGGTGTGCTTTTTCTACTAAATACTGTTGGAAATGTCTGCCTGTAGGGAGGTCAACATCCTCCAGCTGGACGAGAAGTCGTTCTGGACGGGAGACGAGGACAGGTGTCAGTCTGCGACCTCTCCGATGTCCCACTTCGTTTTGGGTTCTTGCCACCACTCAGCCAGGAAGGACTCCTCGTAGTCTCCCACGCCCTCAAACTCAGTGTCAGGATGCTCTGATTGAGAGGTGGCCATTTCTTCTGGACTAACCATGTCCTTAAAAGTGAACACACACACAGTTAACAGCAAGCAAAACCTTTTTATCTTACTTCCATTCTATCTGGCAAAAGTGATACTTTTCCTGCTTATGTCTATAAATCTGTCACTTGTGCACCCTGTAATTCAGCCTAAACTCTCTTAAAAGTCCTCCTCCCCACCGCTCAGGTCCAGGCAGTGTGTAGGGGGATGGGAGGGGCTGACCTGAGTTAAATGGATGTGGCACAGCCTCAGTGGCCAACACCTCCCAGCCACATACCACACGCTGCTGGCGGAAAACACAGCCCCCCCTCCTGCTCCCTCTTCCGCAGTCTTCATCCTCTAAGATTTTTCTTTTTCTTTCTTGTGCTCTTTTTTTCCATAACCTCAACAGCTGCAGTCTGCTATCTTATTCCTCCAAAGTAAAAGTTTATATCCTCAAACATCGTGCAGAATATTTTGATTAACTTAAAAAAGAAGAAGAATGAAAATGTGTAGTAAGTCGAAGTGTCATAAAAGTGTTCATAAAAACATATTTTCATATTTATGTACCCTTAGGGTTGTCTGGTCATGCAGACAGTTTTATCTGCTGAGGTTTTGAGATGTCTGTCTCTGAAAACTCTGCGCCACCCCAGCACAATGGAGGTTTATGGAATTTTGATTGTGCAGCTCAAAAAAGATTCCAAGGAAGGATATCTGAAAACCTCATCAGATCAAATCAAGACAGCTACATAGCACTACTTGGAGTAAGTAAAAAAACAACATATCTGCAATTTGGGTGAACTGGTCCTTTAATCTGTCTACAAGGTGCCATTTTTCTACACAGATTATAGCGATAATGATGATGCTATGATCTATTGTTTCTTTAAGGGAATCTCTTTGTGTACAGACAGTCATGGTTTGGGGTTAACTATATAGTAGAACTCTTGGGGCTCATATATTCTGCAGATTCAGTATCTGCTAACACTTCAGTAGAGTGGACTCAGCTCTACTAACTGCATGAGTCACTTTAGAAAGAAGAAATAACAAAATTACCACTGAAAAGCTTAAATCATAGGAAATAAAAGGCGCCCTTGCTCAATTCAATGCACTCAATGGTTTTGCTGCTACAGCCCTATCTGGTCTGGTATGACCAGTATCTAATAGTGGCTGATGTTAGCTGATGTTAGCTGACTTTAGATATAACAGACTTTACTGCATCAGTTCTGTGACTTTAAGATTTTTCTCAACTTGTGCTACTCCTAAGATATGTTTTAGAATTTAACATTATTCCTTAATTGCCAGTTGTGGTGACTTTGAGAACTTTGATCAGAAACCAAACTGCGGAAATTTATATTTATATTTGTTTGATTCGTGATCAGTCAGTTCCCAGTCTGCATAGATGGAGAACTTGTTTCCATTCAGCCAATCAAAAACCGGCTGCTATCAATCAATGACAGACTCACCCCTCCAGCAGCTGAGAGGACAAGGGGCATTTCCAATTTCCCTGAACACCTTTTTCCCCTTCTTTTAATATTAAAAAACTATTAAACATACATTAAATAAAAAGATTTTTTATTGCAAAAAGGATGAATGGACTTCCAGCATTGTTGCTGTGCTCACAATGTCACTCTGAAAGCAACATACCTCATCGTCTGTTTGTAGGTAGTTCAGTGCAAACTCCAGCATCTCTTTCTGCTTGGTTGTCTCGTTAAAATACCTCAGAGCCTCCTGAAACACAAACGGGACATCAGTTCTCGCGTTCACCCAGGCAGCAGGCGAGAACAAGCCGACTTCTGCTTTATAGCTCTGCACTGAGCAACAAATTTGGCCTGTTGTTCTTTTGTTTACCGCTCTTTTTTTGCCCTCAGTTTGGAAGCCTTAAAGTATTTACAGCAGTACCTTCAAAAAGGCAAAAGATGTTTATGAGCCGGCCCAGCTCCATGCAAAGCTGGCACACTGCGGCTGCTACCAACTTTACGGCAAGCGAAAAAAAGTATATGGGTTTCTAATTACCACCCTGGGATTGTGTTAATGTTCACGCCAAGACCGCTTTATGCTATAGTTTTCCTGCTTTGGTTAAGTACAGCCAGTGTGAACTTTCTGCCACTTTCAGTCCTGGAAGTAACAACAGAGAACAGTCTTTGTTTCACTCACAGGCCGAGGTTGAAAGTCACTTTCCTCGAGCCCCCACTGCTGCCGGTAGAAGCGATAGTATGCTACATTTTGCTGCATCACCTGGTCTTTACTGTCAAACAGCATGTAGCTGGCTGCACACGGGGCAGCGTTCTTTACATCGTTCACTGCAAAGGATCACAAAATAAAACACGTTAAAGGGAGAGTTACAGATTGCTGTCGATAGCCTGTATCCTGAGTGACAGTCTTTGTCGTAGTTCTTACATTTATAATAGGAAAACTGGAGGTAGTGATACATGGTGGCTACAAACTTCTCCACAAAGAAGCCTCCAACGTTGGGTGTCAGGTGCTCTTCACATTTCACTTTACATTTCAGCACGTCAGTGTAGAGATCTGAGGGAAGAAAGAGGGAGAATGTGAGCAAATGTGTGGCAAGAGTCTATTTTCTGAAAAATACACGTAGCTGAACCTGTTACCTGCCAGGGTGGGATAGAAGTCTTTGAACTCTACGATCTCATATGAGCTCTCACATCCTGCTAAGCAGCTACTGTATATTTCAAAGTACTGTGTGATGGCCTGCTCCATGTTTCGGGCGCTGCTGCTGAAGTCTCCGTTGTTATAAAGCGTCACACTCTTCAGAAAAACACTCTGGAGGACAAAGAGATGCATTCAGAAGGTTTGAATAGTTTAGCACTAGTTTAATTTGCACACCGGATCTGGACGAGGAGGTTTATCTACGAACTTCATACGGCTGCTCCTCGTGGTCGATGAGATATTCTTCCACATCAAACAGCGTCTTGTAGTAGTTCATGTTCTTGGTCAAGTAGGGATCAGTTGGGTTCTTCTTCAGGAAGGTGTGTGCCGCTGCTACAGCCTTCTCGAGGTGGTTGAGCTGAGGAAGAATAGATAGTTTTACATTTTCAGGATTTCTAAAATATGAAACATCTCTCTCGCCGACAGGAAGGGCTTTTGAAAACAGCAGCTTCACTGGATAACGTGACCTCTGACCCCTTTTTCTATGATGTCAGAACACAAATTCTTGTTGAGTCCATGAATGGAAAACTAATACACTCTACTCTCCCCAAAAAACAGGAAAGATGGTCCAATATTACAAGTAAACTCAGTCAGGGACGCCTGCTTAAAAGCACATTTGTTGATATGATCATCAGATGGAGAGCTTGATTCTCCTTTTAATTTGCCAGACACACAAAACTATAATTTACTCCAATTTAAAAAGGTTTCAGAAGAAGCCATCTGATGTGGTTAGTGTCAATAACACCTCCAGCTTTTGAAGGATCACAACTGTCAAGAGTGTCTGATAGTGGCTGTTCATTACACCACTAGAATGACTGTTATCCACAATAACATGGAAACTCAAAAAAAAAAAATTAAAAAAGATCAGTCTCATTGCCTTGTAAGCAAAGCCCCATCAGCCCCCTCTGACAGAGAAGAATAAGGGGATTGTTAAGGTGCAACACTGGAAGAGACGTGGCACATGCTCAACTCCTGCTCGGTCGGCAGGAGGGCGCAGCAACAAAGCGGCAGAGAAACTACACTGCACATCCAGCCGGCTACAAATCTCCCCTCAGTGAGTCAAAGCGAGTCAATGCGCGTCGAGGAACCTTCTGCGGACACTTCTGTTGAGTGTTTGCGCCCGTTACGCACAGTTATGCCAATGTTTAATCTGCTCCTGCGCTATTGTACATATGAGTGAGTCTCTAACGGGCAATAACTTTATGTCACATCTCTATGACACACACTCTGGGGGGCTTTTTGAGTGTGTCGTGGGCCATAAAGACACATTAACTCGTATCGTTTAAGCATTTGGTGTAACTTTAGGATTTAGTGGTAAAGGCCTACATTTATTCTGCAGTCCAGCTGACACCATCAAGCCTCTGGTCTCACCTGGTACTGTGCGTACTGTATGTACCGATACGGCACCCTCTTCTCGAAAGTTTCCAGTACATCCCTGCGTGGGTATGCGAGCTTAAACACGGGAAAATCCGCTTTGCACTTTTTAAGGCACGCAGCCCTCAGCAGGATGTGGCGCACGACGCGCAGGCTGTTGTCGGCGAACAGGGTGTCGTTGTCCCGGCTCACGGAGCTGCAGTTGCGGCCGCAGAAAGCCTCGCTGTCCCGCAGCAGCCGGTGGAGCCGCAAGCTGAGCTCCAAGAACTTGATGCTCTCTGCCCAGTTCTGCGCCCCGTACTGCTCCAGCGCGTAGTTGTACGTGGAGTCCAGCGGCATGATGTCCTTCTGGGGGAAACTTTTAAAGCTGTACTTCTCATACTGAGCCCCCACCAGCGCCGGGAGGAGGAGGAGGAAGGCCAGACACAAGCTTTTCAGGAGCATCGTTACCTCCGCCGGCTCCAGCAGGAGACTGTTTCTTGTTTTGAATGGATCGGGAAACTTCCTCTTTCTTTACCAGGGAATGCTCATGTCTGCCTGCACGTACGCTGTGAAAACCACGTAAAACTCGTGAAAGCAGATGCTGAAAACGAGCCTTTCTGGCCAAACCTTTCAAAATAAAAGCACCACTCTCTTTTGTTTTTTTTTAATGTTGAGCCCATTTCCACCACATTTCATAGATATTTAATGTTACAGCCAGCCACCATTCAAAGCATCCTGCAGTGCTTTGAAAGTGAATGTGCTTTTTCCCTCCCTCCATTAGTTTCCCGATATTATATGACAGTAAACGTCAAAAACTCGCTTGAGATAAGTTTCAGGAGAGGTGATGCATTACAGTCTTCTCAGATCACACAGGCTATTTTACGAAAACAAAAGCACTCATTAATTGTGCCGAATTACCTCAAGCAAGTTTTAGGATAATAGTAAAAAATACCAAACAGAGATTTAAAAAAAAAAATCAGTTTGCTTTTCTTATTGATTATAATTATGCAAATTGTGTTTTTTGTGGCTGCAGATAAGACTTAAAAACTACTGCTTCTGGTAACTTTTATACCATGTTTTACGTACCAAAAATTCAAAAGTATAAGAAGATTAATCAAAGTTCATCACTCTTGACAATTATCTTGAAGGAACAAGTCCCTACTTCCGGTACAAATGGTGGTAACTCCTGCTTTCTTGACAGAGGCGTAACAGGCTGAGTTTGGATCTCAAGAAAGACGAAGAGGGTCCACTTAGACCCATGGACTAAAAATGTTAACATATTAACAGGGATGATAGATTGGATTTATTTACTTTAAACAGATATTTTTTATTCCAGTTTTCAAACTGCTGGCAGATTAGATTAGATTTAGAAAATGTAAAGTCGGATCAGTTCTCGTATTTTCTCTGCATGGTAATGAGTTCTGTCTGCATTTCAAGTACACTGACATGCTGAGACATGGGTCGGGGAGTTTAAAAAATGCTTTCACACAGTTGACACATCACATATAGGGCAAATCTAACCCCTGAGACTATATATATACTTCCACATTCATACTTTCAGAAGCCCCGCAGGCCCTCTGGGTGGATGTCTGGTGGTTATTAGGACCCAGAGCCTCCGAGCACCCAAATGTGGAGGAAAAGCAATTATGTTTAAAGTGTAGAACAAAAAAACACACATGCAGCAGACGCCTGCCATACTTTACTGTGAAAAGAGAGAGAATAAATTCATATTATGCAGAGGCACATTATAATTTTAGGCTCATTTCATACGTGAGTGTCATCATGGGGCCAGGCCTCTGAGCCAGGCATTACACGTTTGCAGAATTCCATTAAAAAGAGGGTGGGAGCCCCGGGGCCACTCCTCCTCCTCCTCCTCCTCCTCCTCTTGCTGCTGCTCTCTGGAGTATATGACCCGAAAAATGCGTAAAGCAAGACAGAAAAACACAGAGCAAGGCAGGAAGTTTGGTTGAGTTCACGTTTAGAATAAAAGCACAAAGTAAACCCACACTAACTCTTCTTTCATATTTCTGCTCATGGTTTATGGTGACTGACAGAAAATGTGGAGTTTCTTTCTTTCTACCTCTGAGTGGATGCACATGTGGAGTCACTTATATATGCAGGCTGGATCCCTGGAGATTATGCAGTAACACAATACATTAACATGTGTTTGATATAGGCGTATTGTATTTACATTTTCAAAAGCATACTGCTGCACCATGATCCTTAAAATGAACCGACTGTCACCGCTTTCCATGCTATGATTGAAAATATTGTAATCTTAAAACCCCCAAAAATGCACCAAAAAAGACTGATAAAGCTTGTTTTTACCCTTTTGGCCTAAATTTGGAATCTAATCTTCCCATCTTTTCCAATTTTGACTATAACAGCTGCATCACTTATTCACATTTAACCTTTTTATATCAAGTTTTCCCTTGAGCTACGTAATCAGTATATGATACAATAATCCATAGTTACATAAAGAAAGATGTAATCAGATTACAGTTTTCTCTTGTTTTTATTTGCATATTTGGTATTGAGGTAATCCAAAAGTAATGGAAAGTAATCAGGTTATGTTACTTTAATATTGTGATACTTGGATTAGGTTAACAGGTAATTACTAATTGTATTGGGTAAGTAATAAAGCAACCCTCATAAACCTGCATATAGTCAGTTTCTTCATATTTTAAGGGGCAATACACTTGATTATTATGTTATTCTTGTAATTATTCAGTCATTCTTTGTAATTATCTATAATCTTTGCAACCTATTTAATGTCTGTCAGCACATACTGTGAAATATGTTACTTTGTATATAGGCTCTTAGTTCTTATATTTCTATTTCCATTTTATTTTTTTATTTTTATTTTACTTATATGTATATACCTATAAAAAATCTAGTCTATATATAGTGTTACATATTGTAATTTAAATATTATTTCTATCCTTTAACATGTGTGAGTAGAACAACTGTAACAAACAAATCGCAGAAGGCTTTTATTTTGTAATCCTAACAGGAAGTAGCCTATCTAACCCCAGCAGCCTTGACGCAGCTCCTGTGGCCCAGTCCTCCTGCGGTACTTCTCTCTTCACCTCACCCGCATCTCCCCGCTGGCAGACGGACTCTTTCCTTTGCTCTTCCGCACTTTTACATTCACACCTTTCCAGAATGGATCCGACTGGAACTCTGGTTTTCCTCCTCTCCGTTGTCGTTACCGTGAGCTGCACCACGGGCCCGTTAGTGGACGTCGTTGTCGATCGGTACGACATACCCAAAGTTTGTCCTCGGGAAGTGCAAACGGAGGATTTTGTCCGTTATCATTTTAACGGCACCTTCCACGCAGACGGGAAAAAGTTTGACTCCAGGTGAAGTTGCACAAATTGAATGCCAATTAGTTCAAAGCTCTTGGAACTATTTTCTCTCTTGTCTTCATATGAGGATGTTTGCATGTTTAAAGTTTACAGAACGAGCTATAGTAACATCTCACGTGCAAACCGCGAGAATATAACATATATATAACATATAGTAATGTATTATAATGTGTTATTATGAGATAATGTTTCCACTGTAAACTAATGCAAGTAAAATGTCTCCACACAGCAACGGTATTTATATATAATGGAGACACTGCTATAAGTAATCCTACAAACAGTCCCGATGCCTTCAGGCTCTCAATTGACTGCAGCTGAGATAACAACTGCAGACGTGTCAATCCCATTGACTCTCATCTGTGTAAACATGCAATTGTGTATATATTTTGCAGTGATTTAATATGCAAAAATGAACTGTAAGTAAAGAAATTGTTGAGTTTTTCTATGGTATGTCTCTAATAATTAGTTAAATGTGTGACAAACAGCGTTCTAGTGAAGTACTGTAGTGCTGATAAGATGCCCTGGTCTGCAAATCTTGTTCTCCAGATTCAAGATTTAACATGTTTGTTTGGTACAGACCCCCAGAAATATTAACAAAATCATGATTTTAATAGTTTTTTGTAATAAAACTGATAAAATTTGTAATAAAAAATAAATAATTCCCACACTAATTTTGAATCATATTGCAATATCTGTTACAAATAATCACAATATGATGTTTTTACCACGTGGTGCAGCCCTAGTTTGTCTGTGGTTAGGATGAAGTGAAGTGTAAAAGTAATCATGATGAAAGAAGGAAGGAGGGAGTCCCTTTAAATAATACCGCTGATGCAGATGGAACATTGGATGCTGATTTTACAGCACCATAAAATATTAGAGCACCACCACATGAACCCTCTAGTACACATTTTAAATAGTCTTTCCTCAGGTTGTCCTACTTTACCAGTTCCCCCATTGATTGTAGACTCACTCTCATCCACCTCTCCCTCCCTGTCTTACAGTCATGACCGAGGCAAGGCCTTCATCAGCCAGGTCGGCTTGGGCAGACTCATCACGGGGATGGACCGCGGGCTTCAGGGCATGTGCGTCAACGAACGCAGGAGAGTCATAGTCCCCCCACACCTGGCCTACGGGAGCGTGGGAACAGGTGCAGACAACCAGGAAGCATGAAAACAGTTGCTGGTCACATTATCTGCTCTGGTTTATGCTCACTCTCTCTCGGTTTTGTCTGACAGGTGGTGTAATTCCTCCTGACGCCGTGTTGGTGTTTGATGTTCTCCTGCTGGACATATGGAGCACCGAGGACAAGGTCCAGATCCGAACGCTCGTCAAACCTCCAAGCTGCAAGCGCAAGGCCGCGGCGTCCGATTATGTCCGTTACCACTATAACGGCACACTGCTGTCTGGTGCAGCCTTCGACTCCAGGTGAGGCTGCAGGGTGGTGCAATGTAGGGCTTCTAAAGGTGAGATGTGAACCTTCGTGTGTGTTTCTGTGATTTTCACAAACTTTTGAAATTGTGTTTAACTTAGTTACTCGAGGAATAAGACCTATGACACCTACCTGGGACAGGGCTACCTGATCAAAGGCATGGACGAAGGTCTTGTGGGCATGTGTGTTGGGGAAAGGAGGCTCATCATCGTCCCGCCCTTCCTGGCATATGGAGAGAACGGCTCTGGTACGGATGATAATGTTTAAGGTGTCTGTGGCTAGTGTTATAATGTCACTGAAGTTTTACATTTCAAACTTCTTACAGTTTTTACTGATTTTAGACCCGAGGCTGCATATAAAACTACGTAAAAGTAACATTTTGTAGTAATTTAAATTTGATAGGTGTGGATATTTGAGCAGTTTGTGGCTATTTTGCAAATTTTTAGCAGAATAACTACAAATCACATATACTTTTCATAATTAATTTCATTACTTTTCATTATCCAAAACACAGTATATAAGCAACCATTGGTTTTAGTTCATTTTAGCTGTGGTACAAACTTTCTGGAACATTTACATAATGTATTCTGTTTAAGATGGATCACCTATTACAGTGAGCATTTGGTCTCATTTACTTTTATTGTGAAGTTTTGTCATTGCTGGTACCACAGTTGCTCTGTAGTTGTGCTCAGGCATGTGTTGATTTGACATTTTCCATCTCACAATAAACAATGTGATTATTGTTTACTTTCTGAGTAGTCTGACTCCCAGAAAGTAAGCTGTTGGTATAAGACTATTTCATTTGGCATTCTTCTCCCCTTCCGCTATCTGCGTGTTACCCTTTTTAAAGTCCTTATTTGACAAACAACAAGTCCGAGGTTGCTCCGAGTTACCAACCATAATCTGGTCCCCAACAAAATGAATGTAAACAAGCTAGCAGCTGTTGTTTTCTTTTAAATGGATTTGGCCGTTTTAATGCCAGAACTCGCCTCCCCATGTGTACATCTTCACCAAAACAACGAAAACAAGCCAGTGTTTTTTCTTTCCTGCACCAGAATGCTTCTGTCAGACCTTTCTCCAGTGCTGACACAGTGCTAAAGCGAAGTGCGGAGATGGGTCTGGCTATGCAAGGCCACTTTCTGGGTGCACTTAGGTTTCAGGAGAGTCCACGCTTACTGCATACGTAAAATGTAAAAACAGATTACTGATGTCATACATGTCTCTGCAAGTAACTGCAAGTTGAAAGTTCCATACCACACTAATGTAAACAAAAAAGGCCTGCCTGGAAGGGAAACACATTTCTAAAGTAGGCTGTATGAGAGTGGCGTGGACCTGAAGCTGCGACATATAGACTGCACTGCAACTCAAGTTGCTTTCTACCCAACAGGAACTCAGATCCCTCCCCAGGCTACGCTGGTGTTCGAGGTGCTGATGATCGACGTGTTCAACCCTAAGGATGATCTGATCGTGGAGGTGAAGAAGGTTCCCAAAGGCTGCACACGCAGGACCGTGACCGGAGATTACATCCGCTACCACTACAACGGTACCTTCCAGGACGGCACCCCCTTCGACTCGAGGTAAGCCTGAGACTTCTCTGTTCTCAGAAACCAATAAAATATAAGCAAAATTGACTGACTGAGTCTTTAACGCTTGCATTGACAGCTACCAGCGAAACAGCACCTATAACACGTACATCGGCATGGGATATGTGATCCAAGGGATGGACAAAGCCCTGCAGGGTCTGTGCATAGGAGAGAAGAGAAGGATTACTGTCCCTCCTCACATGGCGTACGGCGAAGACGGAGTCGGTGAGTTTGACGCACGCAATTAGGGAGTTTTAAAAGACACTTGGACTGGACGAACAAACCACCGAGTCTTGTTTATGACTCTGTAACACCGCCCTGTTCCTTTTTCTCTCCCGCTGTAGGAGACCTCATTCCTAGCTCCGCCGTGCTGGTCTTTGACATTCACGTCATCGACTTCCACAACCCCAAAGACCTGGTCCAGATTAAAGTCACCCACAAGCCTCAGGAATGCAACATGACCAGCGAAGCTGACGATTTGATTCAGTATCGTTATAACTGCTCCATGATGGACGGCACCCTGCTGTACTCCTCGTGAGCGCCCTCTGCTGTACAATCTGCTACACTGCATCCTCCTCCTCCTCCTCCTCCTCCTCCTCCTCCTGGTTCATGCATGTAATCATTACTGGCTCCTTGTCTGACAGATTTCAGTGGGCTTGGAAATGCATACCATTTTTACATATCCATGACAACAGCACGTATGCACGCATGGCTCGAGGTTTTAATACGTGGAGAAGTTTCTTTGGCTTTGATTTTTTTTTTTTTATTAGAGTTAAGAGTGGTAACAGGTTATGTGTCCATTTCCAGGGACCATTACGACTCACCTTCCATCACGACGCTCGGAGAAAACAAGGTGATCCCAGGTCTGGAGAGAGGTTTGCTTGGCATGTGTGTGGGTGAGAGGAGGGAGGCGGTCGTTCCACCACACTGGGGACACGGTGAAAATGGAGGTTAGTCACTGGAGCTGCTCAGATCACACTCTGAACACACTTTTTTACCCCAAAATCATTTTTTTTCCTCCTCTGTCTTGGCATCTCTAGCTGGAGAAGTTCCTAGGAGTGCGGTGCTCTTCTTTGAGCTGGAGTTAGTGGACCTGCAGAAGGGCGTGCCCGAAGGCTTCATGTTTGTGTGGCTGGGAGACGGACCCGATCAGCTCTTCCCTGCGATGGACCTCAACGGCGACAAAGAGGTCCCTCTAGAGGAGGTAAGCAGGTCCAGTCTGAGTAATTTCCCCCTGCTAAATGTATCTTTTTAAAGCATATATATATAAGCTAACTAATATGCTTTAACCATCTCTTTAACCAACCATCTTTTCCCCAGTTTTCAGCCTTCATCATGCTCCAAGTTAAAGAGGGCAAAGGTCGTCTTCGGCCTGGGTTGGATGCCGACAGCAGCATTAAGGACATGTTCAATAACCAGGACCTCAACAGAGATGGGAAGATCATAGAGGATGAACTCAAACCTAATGCGGATGAGGAGACCGAGACGAGACGAGACGAGCTGTAAAGGGGGATGTGCAGTATTTCAGTAGTGGCGAGGGACAGGCAGTGCAGTGGCTGGGGGTTATACTGACATCTTAGCATCTGTCGTGCAACTATTTTGAAAATGGCAGCTTTGCCACATTGTGTTTGAAATATACGAATGCCCTCTTGCACCTACCGCAGTAGAACGGGCCGTGATCCTAACGGAGCTCAACACAGACAGGAAACATCTTTAATTGACGGGTCAGCGTGTTGTGCAAAGGGAACAGGTGTTTGAAAATGTGAAAGGAAGAAAAATTGTCTGTAGTGAAACTGTATTCAGGCACATTTGAACATTTGGGCTGGGCCCTTCTTCCAGAATATTACATCTTATATAAACTAGTAGTCAAGTGCAGTGCCTCATATAAAAATGATGAAGAAAACACTGGTTGTACAGTAAAATTTGGAGTGAAAATCTGTTATTGAAAATGATATTACAACGTGTAGAACATAAAATAACCTGTTTTTGTAATAAAATGAAGACAACAGCCATTTGATTTCTTCCACACTGTCCACATACAAACCTGTACCTGTAAATCTAGTTTGGTAGATTTTAATTCATTGGCCTCAATATTGATGAAAACATTTTTAAACATGCTGATGAGAAACGGGTGAAACCACATTTTATTTCAGACAAGCTGGAACATATGAAAAGGTAATGACTTTGTAAAGACAAAAAAAATGCATGACCTGACTGCGTGTGGCACACAATAACAGACAAAAGTTGTTTTTGGATATTGTGTTAATCCTTGTTTTTTGGAAGCTTTTGTTTGTTGCTGTGTGAACATTTTGAATCGATCTTTATCTAAACCTTGGTTAAAATGACAGTAAAGGTGAAATCATTCAAAATACTAACAAAACCCCGTTATTTAACGTTAATACCGTAACACTTCTGAGGTAGCAGTTAGTTCTTACAAACACTTTCACCTTTCAGTGACATATTTATGTTTTACTCATGTTAACATATTTATTTTACTCTTATATCTCATACTTATATAAAGTAGCACCGTGGTGTTACACAAGAAAAACAATAGTTTTCATGATTGACAATATGACCAAAAACTGGAAGACTTGACACCAATAAAATGTTAAACCGTAGTTTCAGGTTAAAATGAGCTATAAATTCAAGTTTTATTGTAAGAGGCTCGATATCCGTTTCAAACCGAATGCAGTCATGTGCTGCCATTTATGTTGTGCGTTATTCTTTCCCTTAATCATGACATCCTACATATGAAGACCAAAAACTGTCTGACAACACCAATCATACACTTTACATACTGCACAGTAGGTATCTGGCTTCCATCACATACAGTATGGTCCAAAAGTAGTTAAACCGTTAAACAAGAGAAGAAATCCAATGGACAAAGATGTAAGAGGGTAAGGTGGTGTGCGTGAGCTTGCAAATAATTTTGTAAAATAAAAAAATAATGACGACACATTCTTGTCTGTAAGCGTTTAACTGGCACTTTCTGAGCAGGGGCCTCTTCAGCTGGTGACCTGGAGTGTCCAATACCAAACAGCCAGTGGTATTCTCAATTCTCAGTTCACTTATTGCCAGTGAGGTAGAGCAGAAGGGCGTTAGGGACTTCCAAGGTCTCATCTTTTACCAACACAATGTCATATGAGTCCAAGTATGATTGCTTCCTCTCCTCCACCTGAGAGCGAAAACAGATGAGAAATGTATTGAAATGTCAGAATATGACTATTTAACTGTAAAGGTACTGAACAATGTTATCCGGTCATTGTGATGAACATGAGTGTATACTTTTTAATTTACCTTGTCATTGAGGAACCCAATCTTGAGGATGTTTTCCATGTCCTGCACCCCATCAGCCATGGTGAGATCTCCCAGAGAGTCCCCCATCAGTAGCACGTTAGGCCGCGTCCGCAGCTCTTGGAAGTGGCCAGTGTTGAGCAGCGCACCTTCCCTTTTATTATAGATGTGGATCAGCTCCCCCTTGAAAGCCTTCAACACTCCCTGCACAGATCAAGAGTCAAATAAATTATATTATTTCAGTCCCCGGTGTGGGGATCAGACTGAAGTTTGTGGTGTGGCTACTCACAGACTCATTGAAGTCCATGTAGTTGGAGAAGACTTTGACGTTGGAGTGGAAGACATCAGCCTGGCGGATAACCTCTTCTAGGATGTCTCCTATTCCAGCAGAGAAGATGAGCAGAGGGATGCTGTGCTCATGCAGGTGATCAAAGAACAGCTGGTAGCCCTCCCTGTTACAACATCAGCTCCGCATTAGAGTTTAAGTACTTAAGGAAGGAAGGAATTTAAAGTATTAAATAGAGGGAGCGGGGTTTTCTGACCTCAGCATGGCATCAGACTCCCGCACGGCCACGGCCAGCAGGTCTTTCCTAATCTCCTGTTGTACCAGTAGTTCATGGGCTCTAGTCCACCTGTGAGATATAGGTGCAGCACAGTTTTATAAACACATTAAAATAGAAGAATAGCTTTTTTTGTTTTGTTAAAAGTTAGATTAGATACTCACCACTCAACCATAAGGGGCAGCTTTTCCTCTATTGACCGTGAAGAGTCGATCTCTATAGGGTAGTACGTGTTGAGCAGCTCCGTCAGCTGACAGAGACAGGACAAAAGTAAACATCTAAAAACAAACATCTGCCTTTTACCCAGCCAGACTTAAGAGTTGATCTTTCCTTTACAACGTTTGGTCAGATTATATCAGAGCGAAGCCATAAGGGTGCATTCAGTGTACATGTTTATGGTCACGATAGCAAAGTCTACACACTGTCTTAAAAAGTATATCTTTTTCCTTAATACTTACGCAATACGTGGTCACATTGCAGATACACAAAGAAGATTTAACAGCAGGAAGACACATTTCTGCATTAGTGCTTAATAGACTCAAATCACTGATCCTGGTTCAGTTTACCTGTTGTAATTCTTCCCATTGCCCACTAGAGGGCAGACCAACTAAATATAAGTGACAATGAATGAAGGCCTCACCAAATTGAATTGAAAGTTAAATACATTAGTCTGTAGGTATTCTAGTGCTTAAGATTTATACATAAACCTTCAAAAAAACAAACACATGTAGTTCCCTTTTAAAGATCTAATAAGTTTAAACTATATTTATGATGTCTGCTGTGTATTAATGGCACTGCTCCTTCCAATAGAAAACCTCATTCCTACCTTTTCTTTGCAGTCACTGGAGATAAGTTTGCTGTTGTCAAGAATATCTGCAAATAAAATACACAGAAAATAAATCCCTCAGCCATGCAACAACGTTCAAACCCAACCTACCTCAAACTAGAGGTGTAAAGGAATATCAGAAAATATTGTATCGTGATATTTACTTTTCTGATATTGCACTGATTCTCAAAAATACGATTTTTGTGTTTAAACCTGCAACAGCTAGATAGCAGTGTTGTAAACTGAGGGCTATGATGTTGGGTGTTACAGGGACTGTGATAAATACAAACGCAGATCACACTGATTCTTGTCAATACACAGCCCTACTTTAAACTACAGCTTAAATATAAGATATAGGGCTGCATGATATGGTAAAAACATTCAATTGCAATTATTATTCTGACTGCGATTTACGATTATGTGGGAATGTTTTTGTTTTTTTAATCACAAAGTGAATTTTCACTAAAAAAAACTATTAAAATAATGATGATGTGACATTTTTAGGGGGTCTGTACCGAACAAACATGTTATCTTAAATCTGGATAACAAGGTTTGTAGACCAGGGCACCTCTGCAGCACTAAAGTACTTCATTAAAGTTTATTCATTGCTGTTTTGTCACACATTTTTCAGCACATTACAGCTCTGGTGATTTGCATATTGCACTTGAATTGTGCAGCCCTACTTAAATAAGATGAGATATTCATATTTTAATAGTCCCACAATGGGGAAATTCCAATCTTACAGCAGCAAAGTGGATAGAGAAAAAAACAGTATAAAGACACTATAAGAACAGTATGAAAAAAATTATATAATATAATATAAAAACAGTAAAACAACAGATAACACAATAACACAAATACTAGCTTATAGTCAGGGAACTTACTGTGGCAGGTGGGGCACCTTTTGCCATTGTGCGCAAATCTTGTTAGGGTCATGTCAAAATCGGAGATCACCTGGATGAAAGATAATAATGTAACAATAAAAAACACACTTTATGCACATTGTACACACTGAATGATGTGGCGGACGTCGTTTACCTGCACGGTGTTGGAGCCAGCCTTCACCATGGACTGTAGGATCTCCTGCACCCTCTGAGGGTCCCTCATGCACACCGACGGGTTGGACAACTGTGGAATCTTAACATTGAACATAATGTGCTCATTTAAGTTAATTAGACATTTTACTGAGAGAGAGAGAGATTGCACAAAGTCTCAGTGGAGCTTTGCACAGCGCGTTGTCAGGCGCTAGCACCATGTTAAGCTGGATTTACCTCACTTACTCCCCAACCTGCACAGCATTTGCCAGGACCACAACACTGGCGCTGCAGCCGTGATATACTTCTTGTTATTGTGATTTACTTTAGAGCTTTTAGGTCCACTAACAAAGACAAATTAACGTTAGCCGACGTTAGCCACACACACACAGCTAAGCTAGAGACGCCCAGCGAGCTAGAATCTAACTTCCTTGATGCAGGGAGCGTTTTTATTTCTGGTGTTTGGTATTTTCCCCCTAAAACAAAAGATGCTGAGTGACTTTACCATTTTCTTTAAATCGGTCGCCGGTCCGTTGAGGTTATTTTGACCAGAAGACGTGTCATCGGTTGTCAGTGTGCGTTGATTTAACGTTTGTGTTGCTATGTGCACGACAGAATCACAGCCTGAACGGTTCCGCTGCCTTCCGGGTCTGAAGAAAGTGTCGGATTTGTTTTTTGGGAAGTAGCACTTTCATGACAAAACGGAGTGTTAGACGGCACTTTTATTTTATTTATTTATTTTTTAAAGAAACCATTGATGGACAACGTCTAGCAGATTATGACAAAACGTTAAGATGTCACGTACTCTCTCTCTGGCGATGAAATATGTCTTTTTTTGTCTGGTGTAGTCAAAAGTGCGAGCCTTTGAGGTACACGTGAAGGCAGCACCACTACTTGTGTAACTTGAAGTGGGACGTTATGTAGTGCTCCTCCCAGTGCAAAGGCTCTGATCAAAGGTTCCCACCCTGCCTCTCCTCCAGGATTTCTGGGCCCTGGTCCAAATAATAGTGGTGAGAACATGCCATTCATGCATTTAAAATAAATATATCAAGTAAGATTTTTTAAATCATTTAAGTCCATACCACTAATTACGTGTCTACTGTTTGTTGCCAGCAACCACTGGAGCCTGATGCTTAACTATGTAGTAGCTTTGCAATAGAAAGTACAGTAGGTCTAAGCAGTTAATAGTAATTTAACAGTCTTTTAGTGGATGCTGGCTACATCAAACTCTTTTGGATTAGTAAAGGCCAACAGCAATAATACACGATGTGTTCAACCATCTGTCTTACAAAACAACTTTAATTGCAAGTGATGACATTAACATTTCTTACATCCAATATAAGGACACAATGTCAGACTATCACATGCAAAGCAAATTACATAGCTTATTCCACTTGCAGTGCTATTTATGTTGGTCATAAAGTGGAAATGAATATCATTTCTGCGCTCTGTAACCTTTATGCTGTAATAGGTGCTGCATGGACAGCTGGAATTTCTGAATGTCAGTCACAACAATCCCTTTTGTTTTGCCTATAAGTCTGATTCCTTTCCATCTCATTTCTAAGTCTCTTGGGGGGGGGCTCTAATGTACACCCAGCTGAAAGTGAAGTACAATAACACGAGGTTTTACAAGACATTTAATGTAGGAAACAAATCCACAAATAATGCTAACATGTTTTTTTCAAAGTAGATCAAAACTTACTGGCTGGAAGCTGGGTAAAACAAAACATTTCCAAAAATACAATCACCTTGTCTGATATGAAACACATGAAGTATGCAAAGTCAAAGTGCAGTTGTAAATTAAATCCCTATGCTTATGTAAGACGTTACGAACAATTAGATGTTAAAAAGTGCATTGTAGAGAAGCTCTGCTCTGCAAACACAAATCATACACACTCCTGCACTCACACATATACACATTTTCTATGTTTCCTTGAATGAATGGGGAACCATGGAGCAATCGCCTGCCAAAGTGCAAAAGAAAGGAATAATTGAGCCATTGCCAATGATTGGTGCTTAATGCAGTGGCCAAATTGAATGTTCAGTGTTGAGATAACTCAAAAGGAATGATTTCATTACATCTAATCACAGATCTCTCATCATTTCACCTCTTCAGAAAACCTGGAGAAAGATTACAAGTTCAAGTGTTATGTTAGCAACAAAAATGAAAACATACTCCTAGTACAACCGTTGAAGGGAAACTGCGATCTAAAAGCAAACTAGTCTACAGGATCTTAAGATTAACAGCCTCATATTCACTTGTGGAGGCTGCACAGTAACAAGGAGAGACATTCTAATAGAGCAATTATGATACAAGTTATTTGTGAGTGAGTTAGACGTTTGAACCAATGTTATACTTTGATGAGGAGATTGTCACAGTGTTACAACGGAATGAGACTTCATTAAGCGAGTTGGATTGAATGTAGGAATGAAGTTATCAACAAAGTCACACAGCCTTCCCAGTACGGGCATACAATAAAGGAATGTAAAATATCCATATAAATGTTTACATATACAGCTTTATACTATTTATGTACAAACAGATAAACAGCATCTATACCAACATACTTGACAAAAGGATATTCAGTTTGTTGGCTGCTATATAACACTCTTATTCACATGTTTACATTCGCCATATCCCTCCTCACAGAGACCAACAGCTGGTCAGCACACACCTGCTTACACATTTCATGGCTTTCGACAAATCAGCCATTAACACAACACAGCGTGAGAGCCGATGGCACAGTTTAATGAAAATCCAGTATGAGAGCAACACAAGACCCACTGCAGCATGTTATGTA